CAAAAGTCCTGGAGTTACATCCACAATTCGATTCCATTATGCTGACACCTTCTCTCTATCTCCTTGAATATTTCTCAAGCTTCGAAGACCGTTTCAATATTCTTCTGGCAGAAGTTGTGGTTTTTCCTTCTGAATTTCCCTGTTTTTGCAGCCGAGAAGTACTTGTCAAGAAACTTTTTCGTCATATCTTCCCATGTCCTGATTGACCAGTTAGTAAGCTTCGAAGCCAGTGCTTCACTACATCCTTCAGTGAAAAGGGGATTGCCTTTAAGTAGATTGCATATTTTGATACTCCATTGTATTAAAATGTGTTCATGATTTCCTCAAAGTCCATCAAGTAAGTGTTAGGATCTTCATTCACCTTCCCTCTAAAGACACGGTTGTTCTGGATGGTTTGAAGCAAGTCTTGCTTCAACTCAAAATTATTTGCTTCTATGGGTGGAGGTGTGACACTTGACGGTCCCTGATTGTAGACTAGTCTGGCATAGTCACCTAATGATCTCCCAGGCCTAGGGGCCACATTTTCAAACTGGTCTTCAACCAGGGGTTGATTTATATTGAATCTTCGACCCCCATCCTCTTCGACAGTCTCATCAGCAGCTCTAAAGACTGCTTCAGCTACTAACCGTGCAACTTGTTCTCTATGTTGTGCTGTCTCTTTTGCAACTAAGTCTACTCCATCATCCCCGTTTTTTGCCATGTGTTCTTGGGTTAAAGGTTGCCCCAAGAAATTTTAGCTGAATTCTCTTTATTTTCTAAGTCGTTGTAGGTATTTCTCCAACTCCTGTTCGTAGGGTATCACTTCCTTTGAAGAAGATCGAGTCATACACCAAAGAGGTTAGACCTGTATCCTGCACACAAGTGAGAAAACGTGAATACAACAAAGTAAAATTGGTTCGTGAATTAGTACCAAAAACTATTTTGAACACTATTGATTGCCAATCCCCAGCAACAATGCCAAAATTTGACGAGTGCAAAATACAACACAAAGTTATCGCTCGCTAGTCAAAGATAATATAATTAAATTATCGTCTCCATAGAGATTGAATTTAACAGTGTTCGAATAATCTTTAGGTATTTACTATCCAGAAAAATTAACACTTGATTGAATAATTATCAACTACGATTAACTATTACAAATTTAGCAATTATCAATTGATCACGAAAGACAACAGTTGAGCAACAAAGAGATATCAGTTAGAGAAATAAGGATAATTGACTAGACATGTACAAGATAATTGACTCGGGATCCAATTCTTGAATTAGTCATTCTATAACACTGTTGATTCCGACGATTTTACCAGATAATTAGATTTACGCTCAAAGTTAATGTTCCTCCTTCGATTAAACGTTAAATTCAGTAATTAATCCAATTGAAGCATAGTGAACAATTGTAACGAAAAAAATGATGGTTTAATCTAATGGGTAACTTCTCACGAATATTTTCCTATTTTCTAGCTCGATTAGTAATTCAAGAGGCTCTTTTGATTACCAAGTTGAATCACGAATTTAAACTAGATCATAAGATGTAAAGAAATTCAATATAAAGCTCCTCTTTCAATTAAGCAAAATAATAAATAACTTCACAATACGATTTAAAGCTCCATCAATTAATTCAAACAATTGTCAAGAATCGAATCCCTAATCAAGTTTTCAATATACCATATCTGTCAACGCCCTAAAGAAAATTACTCCATAACAATGAAAAAATTCATCTCAAGAAGGTTTAAAGACATAGAAAACATCAATGCTAGTGATTCGATACAGACTCCCTATTGCACCGATTGTTGGTTGAAATCTTGATAAATTCTTGTGTTTCCTTGCTTTAGTTACTTCTCAAATCTTTCGTAGGTCAAAAGTCCCTTCAAAAATGTATATTGGTGTATTTATACCGTATAGAAGTGGGTCCAAACGAAACTATCTTTTCCAAGATGAAAAATGAAAATACTTTGGGAAAATGCTCAGGCTTGTCGTGCCTCACGTCGCACCATGCGACGCGGTAGTGCTTTTTTCTCAGAGTAATTTTCTCTTCTACTTTTTGACATCCATATTTGGTCCTCGACTCTCGAACGCAATTCCAGTTTAATTTCTTGGGCTTTTACTCAGATTTCAAAGCTCCAATTTGTTCAATTCAGTTCCAAATTATCGTTTTAACTCGGAATCAACTTCTTGCAAGGCATAAAACATGTAATAAGTACAATTCACTATCATTTAAGCTCAAACACACGTAAAGTATAGTAATTAAAGTATAAAATAGAACTAAAATACGAGCTTCTAGCCTACCATTAATATATATTTCAAAACTGATTCGCTTAACATAAACACACAATATTGAAAATTTGAAATTGTCAATTATTCACCGGAAAAGCAGTGTGACAAAGTACATACTGATAATTTGGCAAAATAAGGTGGAAGAGTGGCCTAGGTAGTAGGGGGCCACCAACAAGAAGAAAAAGTAATAGTAGGACTAACTTGTTTGGCTAAATTGTCAAAATTAATAACCCTAAAGATTAACAACTTAAAGGTAGGCGCGTCTCTAGGAAAAGTGAAAAACAAGACTTGGTTTGTAATTCTAGTCCAGAATTTAATTTCTATAACAAAATTGATCCCAAGAACTTTTGTTTTTCTTTGGCGTGCTCCGTATATTCCTTGAGATACTCTTGATGATAAACCGAATACATCATAGAAATTTGATAATCTAAGAGTTGGCTCGTCCGTGAGTAGATGTGACTGCTTAACTAGGTTAGCACTCCCTTCGCCCCATTTTATGTATGTATAAAAAAAATTAAAAAATTATGAACTTAAATATGTGATAATATTTTAGTTTCCTTAAAATATATAATTAAAGATAAAAAAATTTAAGTTAAATTATTTCAAAATATAAAAAAGTACTACCTCCGTTTCAGTTTATGTGAACCTATTTTCTTTTTGGTACATTCCAAAAAGAATGACCCCTTTCAAAATTTGGAAATAATTTTATTTAAACTAACATTTCTACCTTAATGAGAAACTTTTATAACCACACAAATATTCTAGCCCCCTTTTTGAATTGTTTAGGACCATAAATTCCAAAAGTTTTATTTTTTCTTAAACTTTGTGCCCAGTCAAACATGTTCACATAAATTGGAACGGAGTGATTATCATTTATTATGAAAGAAAAGTGTATCACGTAAAATGTAAGTATTTACTTTGTTCTTGAATTAGATAACAAAGATTTTTTGATCGCAAACTAAACACAACGGAAAATGAATTGAATCTGTCCCAACTAAAATAATAAATTTGCATTCTCTTATATAGCATCCATGTAAAAAGAATTATTCTCAATTCAATACTCTTATTACCAAAATGTTACAGATGAGACTTATTTTTAAAATTAAGAATTTTAACTTCTTTTTTACTATAATTTTTCACTGCATCTTTTAAGTGTCACACTTACCTCCCTTGTTGTTTATGATATTACTTTACCCTGCTAAATATATCTTTTTTTAACAAGGTCTCTAAAAATTGAAACCCTAAATCCATCGGCTTCCTCTTTTGGGAATTCAATTTTCCCCATCAAACTTGGGAGAGATGTTGCCGGAAAAGAAAAGCCAGTTAAAGTATAGGCACAGAGAAGATTTCCTGTCTTTCAAGATAAACGAATTACTTCACTTAATTCTATTTTGGTTTACTACAAGAACATGTTGTATAGGTTTATTGATTTAAACATTTGTAAAGCTCTTTGATTTAACAAATGGGCTTATTTGATGTGTAAATACAATACAGTAACTTGTTTACAAGGAGCTAGAAAACAAATCTTCCACTGGTTCCCACAAAGAAGAAGAACATGGAACGAAAGCAATGTTTGCAGGATAGGAAGGAATTTCAAGTGAATTTGTTAATTAAGAAAATATGTATAAAATTACTTGAATAAAAGACTACGTTAGGGTAAATCATGCACATGATAAATTTTTTCATTAATAAAAATAAGTTAATAGAATTATCACAATGAAATCGAAATAAGAGAAATAAACACAATATCATAAACCACAAAAAAAATTAGTGCATGTGAAACGTGATTAGACGTGTTTGAAACTAACCTTTCTTCTTATTATAATCTTTTCTTAAGGGGACTGTTAATAACCCGTACAATATGGAATTATAGTCGTTAAACTACTGCTTCAGTTCTTAGAATCCTTTCAATTCTCTGTTGCAATTAATTTTCTAAAATAGTTGACAAAATTGTATTAACAAATAATTGCACCTATCTTTTGCAGCCTTTAAAAATTCGAAATTCACTTAATTATTCAAATTTAGATTCTAATTGAATGTGTTTCGCAACTTAATTTTTCAACCATTACTTTTATATTTTTATCAATTATCACTACTATAATATAAAAATTAATTTAGATTTTAAATTTCATGTAAATCAAATGCCGTCTTATAAAAATAAAATAGTTGTTGGAATAACATAAAGGTAGTTTCGGCATATTATACAACTATACTTAATTACAACATTCGATTTATCATATAAGAAAATATAATCCATGCATAACTAATGTAATATTTTGTTGGATATATTAACTAAAACTAGCATTTAAGTTATAGAAAAATTATGTATTATTTTATGCTTGAAATCATAATACACGAGTTAGCAACATGTAGATAAAAAATACTTCTGTTTAAACAAATAAATATTTCTTCCGGTGTTTTTATCTCGTACTTTAGGTAAAAAATTTGGTCCAAATATTAAATATTTATCACTATAGGAAACTAAATAGGCTTCATTACTCTTTTTTCCCCTTCAAAATCCCACCTTAAACAGAAGGCATATAACTAATCACAGCATTTAAGGAACAGATAAATGTAGCCTAGTCAAACATCCTTTACTATTAATATTACTTGTATAAAATAATCTTGTAATGAGATCAATACCTTAAATGACATCATACTCTCCTGACAAATTGAAAAGAAAGCAGCAGTATTTACTATTTACAATAGGCGTTGTTTGAGTGCGGAAAATGAGTAGCAGAATATTAGCTGGATGCAGCCACGCACGTACTGCTCCACTCATTTCTCTCTAATTACTCCCTTAATCATCATTTTCTCTTTCACACACACACACACACTCTCTCTCTCTCTCCGTTTCTACCTTTTCACACTCTCAATTACTACTCCGAATCCATGCAGCAGATGCTGCTGTGCTGACTGATGCAGATCTCCACTTTTCTCTTTCTTTCTCTCCTCACAATGCTTCCAATTCCTCTTAGCTAATTAGCTACATTTACTCCTCTCTCTCTCTCTCTCTTCTCCCCTCTCCCTTTCTTCCCCACACCCACCACCGCCATGTTATCCTCCTTCTTCTTCATCTTTCTCCTCCTCTTCTCAGCCACTGTCTCCGCCCAAAACCGCCCTATTCTCCACCAACCATTTTTTCCGGTAGATTCACAACCGCCATCTTCTTCACCCCCTACTCCTTCTGCACCATCACCGACTAGTACTACTACTCCCAAATACCCTTTTGACTCTTCTACTACTCCTAATAACAATAACAATAACAATAACAATAATACTCCCTTTTTCCCCTCTTTCCCTTCTCCTCCCCCCCCACCTTCCCCTTCTGCTTTTGCTTCTTTCCCTGCTAATGTATCTTCTCTTATCCTTCCCCATTCCGCCAAATCCAAACCCCTTTCCTCCAAACTCATCGCCACCGCTATCATCTGCGTTGTCGCTGCTGTCCTTGTTCTCTCACTCGCTCTATTCTTGCACAGCCGCAAGCGAAGAAATCAAGCTGCTTCTACTAGTGATGCTAAAACCCAGAGATCTAATAGCAGCACTCACTTCAATTATTCTAATGGTAATAGTAATAATGGTAATAACAGCAGTGGTGGTAACCGCAGTCATATTCCTAAGCTACAAAGACCATCGCAGACCAGTTCGGAGTTTCTCTACTTGGGTACTATGGTCAGTTCACATGGTGGAATTGATGGGCCCCACAACCCTCCGCAACGTCGTCGTAGCGGCAACGTGACTAGTGTCCCAGCTTCGAGAAAAATGGATTCGCCGGAGATCCATCCATTGCCGCCGTTACTTGGACGGAATTTGAGTCAAAATTATGGGAATAATAATAATAATAATGCAGATGTAATATCGGGTAGAACTGAAGAAGATGAGGAGTTTTACTCTCCAAGAGGATCTTTGGACGGCAGAGAAAGTTCGATCGGAACTGGATCGGCGTCACGTAGGGCATTTGCCGCCGTTGAGGTGGAGAATTTTGGTGGTGGTTCCAGGTCCAGCTCACCTTCTTCTTCGTACTCGTCTTCCAGTTCCGGTTCGGGTTCACCGGTTCGGTCTGTATCGCTGAGCATTTCGCCGCCGGTGAGTTTTAGTCCGAAAAGCTTAATGCCTAAGTCACCGGAACTGGTCGCTATTCATACTGCTCCACCACCTCAATATTCTCCTCCACCCCCTCCGCCTCCGCCTCCGCTTCCGCCGCGAGCAAATTTTGTGCCGATATTGGTCATGGGGAATGAATCTGATTCACCATCTCCTCCCAGTTCATCATCACCGGAGAGATATTCAAGCAGAAGCATTGACTCTTCGCCCCGAAGTTTCAATGTTTGGGATCAGAATCTTGAATCTCCGGCGAGAATCGCCAATCAGATACAGCAGATTGAGCCATTTTTCGTTGCCCCACCACCACCGCCCTCACCGCCTCTTTCGATTAGTATTCCGGCTAGTGTACCGCCTCCGCCTCCGCCACCACCATGTAAAAATTGGGATAGTCCAAAAACTCCAACACCACCAACTTCAAAGCCACCATCTAAGCCTCCAGTTCTTGTAACTCCTTTAAGGCCTATAGCACTTGAAAGTCCAGTATTGATTTCTCCAATGGATCAGTTGCCTTCTAATTCGGAACCCATTGAGAAGAATGAGCAGAAAATAGAAAACGAGGAAACTCCTAAACCAAAGTTAAAGACTTTGCATTGGGATAAAGTAAGAGCAAGTTCTGATCGAGAAACGGTGTGGGATCAACTCAAATCAAGTTCATTTAAGTAAGGATAATCTAAACTCTTGTTGTTGCACTAATGTTTAAATGCTCCTCATCTTTTTGTTGGGTAATTAAATATAGCTGATTATTTGCAGATTGGATGAAGAGATGATAGAAACCTTGTTTGTTGTGAAGACTCCAACTTCAAATCCAAAAGAAACAACTAGACGCTCTGTTCTTCCCTCGCAGAGTCAAGAGAATAGGGTACTTGACCCAAAGAAGTCACAGAACATTTCAATTCAGCTTAGGGCACTAAATGTAACTGTTGAGGAAGTATGCGAAGCACTTTTAGAAGGTATTCTTCTACTCTATTTTTTTTTTTGACTTATAAATTATAATTGAAAAATGACTCGGATGATAGAAATGCCAGTTTATTGTTGCTTGATCGCTCTCGTGCTACAGAAAAGATCTTTTACTTGCTGCTGAATTATCATTCAGTTCATATGTGCTTCTGGTATTAAACCATTTACCTGCATTGATGTTACTAGTATAAATGAACATAGTGTAGACATTCACAATATACGTGACTAGTTTATAGGTGTTCAAAGGGTAATTTGGCATTTGCTCCCTGGATTTCAGGGTATTAATTCTAATTAGGATATAGCATCTCACCTTATTTAGTTCTGGTAAAGCATATTGGTGTGTCTGTTCCCAAACCATGTCCACAGCTCTACATTTCGGGTTTTCTGCTTATTGTTGCTCTTTACCTTCAATAAGATGATCCTTTTTCTAATTCTCCTTTTAGGGTGCAAGCATATCTAGAATATATAATGTTTTCGGATTTAGAAATGAAGTACATTCTTTTTTCAGGAAATGTTGATGCCCTAGGGACTGAGCTCCTTGAGAGTTTATTGAAGATGGCTCCATCGAAAGAAGAAGAACGCAAGCTGAAAGAGTATAAAGATGATTCTCCATTTAAGCTTGGGCCAGCTGAGAAGTTTCTCAAAGCAGTGCTTGATATACCTTTTGCATTCAAAAGGGTAGATGCTATGCTGTACATTTCAAATTTTGATTCTGAGGTTGACTACCTCAAAAAGTCATTTGAAACTCTAGAGGTAATTATTTCAAGTCATGTTTTGCTTCTAGTTGTATATTGAGTTCTCTAAAAATCACCAAACAATTCTGAGTTTTGATTTGACAGAAGAGAGGTTTTTTTAAAGTATTGATGTATAACAAGCCAATAAGAAAAGATGCTGGTACCTATGATTAATGAGACTCAAAAATAGCATCTGTGATTTTGGAAGGAAGTGCCTATGCATCAGTATGATAGGACATCTAATTGTTGGACTAGGGAATAATTATGTATTTTAACTTGGACTGTTGGAACTTGTGATAAACTAATCATGTACTTCTCTCTTGAGCTATGGAATTGCATGCTAATTGAACCAAGTCAAGTATTCATACTATGTTTATTATAAGCTCACACAAACCAATAGCAGACTGGGAAGTCTTTTCTTAAGTTTTTATGAGAAGTCTTCTTGGAAATTGTAATCCTTATAAGCTTTGCTACTCGACAGGCTTCTTGTGAAGAGCTGAGAAGTAATAGAATGTTCTTAAAGCTTCTGGAAGCAGTGCTGAAGACTGGTAACCGCATGAATGTTGGGACAAATCGCGGTGATGCACATGCGTTCAAACTGGATACACTGCTAAAGCTTGCAGATGTGAAGGGAGCTGATGGGAAAACATCCCTCTTGCATTTTGTGGTACAGGAGATCATAAGAAGTGAAGGAGCTCGTCTCTCTGGTGGAAATCAAGATCAACAGTCGACCATTAGTGATGATGCTAAGTGCCGGAAGCTTGGCCTCCAAGTTGTTTCAAACCTTAGTTCAGAGGTTATAAATGTTAAGAAGGCTGCTGCAATGGATTCAGAAGTGCTTCATAGTGAGGTCTTAAAGCTTTCTAAAGGGATTGGAAACATTGCTGAAGTTGTCCGATCAATTGAAGCAGTTGGATTGAAGGACAGCAGCATAGAAGAATTTTCCGAGTCCATGAGAAGGTTTATGAAAATGGCAGAGGAGGAGATCATAAGGCTCCAAGCCCTAGAAAGTGTCGCCATGTCATTGGTGAAAGAAATAACTGAATACTTCCACGGAAATTCAGCCAGAGAAGAGGCTCACCCTTTTAGAATCTTTATGGTGGTGAGAGACTTCCTAATGGTTCTTGATCGCGTTTGCAAGGAAGTTGGGATGATAAATGAACATACAATAGTTAGTTCTGCCCACAAGTTTCCAGTTCCAGTAAATCCAACTCTACAACCAGCCATTGGCGGGTTGACTGCAATAAGGCAGCATAGTTCCTCCGACGAGGACAGTTCACCCCCTTAATAACGATATTAGCTTATAGCAGGCAGAACCCTAGATTTTTGTTTTTGGCCAAAACCAATGTAATCTACTACTATAAAGGCCATCTAGGAGTTTGTCTGAGACTGTCATGTAATCTTTTTTTCTTTTGTTTTTAATTTTCTATTTATATAGTTCATTGTACAAGTTCTGGAAATGTATCCATTCCCGTAGATATATAAAGAGCATTTCTTTAGCAAATATCGAAGGCGTATTGCCAGAAACATTTTATGTTTTAAGTTTGTAAGATCAGAACCTCCAAATCAAGAATGCAGGAATTGGGAGTGCTATTTGTAAAGTGAAACAATTTGAGTGTTAAGGTTAGGGTTGGTGGTGAAAAAGGATACCTCCAACCAAAAAAAGAGGAGAAAAAAAGAAGAAACTTTTAAAAATTAACATTGTGAGCCAGCTGTGTAGTGGTTGCCTTCAACTTTATTTGACCGTTGGGTTCAAAAAGAATTTACCTTACAGAATTATGAGAAACAAGAAAGCATGTTTGCATAATGCGAGCTCGCCACGGATTTTAGGGAGAGAAAAGCTAGATGCCCTGTTTTCTAAAGATGCATTTGTGTATTGTATAATGAGCAATGATTTTAAATTATATTTACTAACAGTGCAAAAGTTGCAAGTATTCAACTGATTTTGAGGGTGTTTGGATTCGCTTAAAAGATGGTCTAATCAGTTTTAAAGTACTTTTTAGCTGGTTTGAGTGTTTGGTAACTTTAAAAATAGTTTTTAAGCCCAAACAAGCTAAAAGCAACAAGTTAGGGAATCCCAACTTATTTTTTTTTTAGAGAAAATCTCACTTTATACCTATTAATCCCAAAGTATTTACCCTTTAATACCCATGCCCAAACTATTTGCTTTTCCTACCCATACGGCCCAGATTATTTACGTGGCCCACCCATTAGCGGATTTTCATACCCGGCCCAAGCTATTTCACCCAGCAACCCATGCAATTAGCGGATTTTTATACCCACCGTCATTTAATGCCTCTGTTAATTTGTCTTCGTTAACGCGATATAGTTAGTTTCAAAACCTCCATAGCCAAACCATAAGAAACCTTATTTCACCCAACATTTAGTGATTCGACTTTTGAATTTTTTCTTCAGATTTCGTTCTATCTCTTTATCTAATAGTAATTTCTGGGAGAAATTTTTGGATGTGAAAGTACGTTTTAGTAAAAGTGGATTTTCAAAATCATAGAAGTTTTGTATTTTTCTTTATACTTTTGTGAATCAATATTTGTGGTTTATTTTTTTCACTATGGGTCGGAAGCATTGTGCGCGTAGATGGTGGCGTCATGCACAACATCATTTTTCAACCCAAGTAGTTGCTGAATCAGTTGCCTCAGCCATGTCCGATCCTTGTTTTTCATTATTTTCCGATTCTCCGTCTGTGTTTAGTCCTAACTCTAGCAGTAGTCGGGTTGAAAACACAACTGAAAATGTAAAATTAGTGGGTGAAAAAGGCAACAATATTGATGCTTCATCAGTCGATGGAACTCCCTACCAGTGATTACCCGAAATAAATTCTGAATCAGTCATAGCAGGTGTTGCGGTGAATGATAAGGAAAAAGCTAAAGTTGTTGAGGATTCCGAGTTAGGGGAAGCCGATGTAAATCTGTGCCTGACACAGAGACTCAACTAGTCGATGTTGATTGTAGCGATGGTTCTCAAGTAAAGAAGAAAAATATTGGTGTGGCACCCAAGAAGGTAATTTTCTTAAAATTACGATCTGTGCTTTTGAACATATAGTACATTGTTATTTTTTGATTTCCTGATATGCTTTTGTATTATATTATAGTTATAGTCAGTTGTGGGAACTGGGAACGACCCCGTACAACTGTATATCCTGTTGGTATAACTATATAATATATTGGTATCATATGTTTGTTGGAACCTCAGTTGCGGAAACGACCCCATACAACTATATACCCTGTTGGTATCAATCCTTTTTGGTTGTATTAACTTTCTTTAATTGGTATGCTATCTGTTTTTTCTTTAATAATAGTAGTATAGTACAATATCTTAAAATACTTTATTATATTAATATGTGGTACACTATTTTTTTATTTTTCTCTTTATGCATGTGTGTTATGTAATAGTAGAATAGTCATATATAGTTGGCGAGAATTAACCAGTAGAACTGTATAACTTGTTGGTATAATTATATGTCATATTGATATCGTATGGTAGTTGTAATATTTTTTGATTGTTTTAACTGTATTTTTAAGTGAATTCTATTTCTGAAATTATTTATATGATCGTGTTTTGCATTGTTGAGATTTCCTTATGCCTATGGACATAGAATATGTGTGTTATGTAATAGTTTTTATAGTTATAGGCAGTTGTTGGAACAATCCCGTACAACTATATACCCTGTTAGTATAGCTATATACTATATTGGTATATTAGTATTATATGTTTTTGGATCATTTTTTGACTGTATTGGCTTCATTTAATTGATACACTGTTTGTTTTTTCTTTAATAATAGTAGTATCGTACAATATCTTAAAAATACTTTATGACTGCATACCTTTTTGATTTTTCTTTTTATACATGTCTGTTATGTAATAGTAGTATAGTCATTTATAGTTGCTGAAAATTAGCCAGTAGAACTGTATACCATGTTAGTATAGTTATACGCCATGTTAGTATCATATGGTAGTTGTAACATTTTTTGTTGTTTTAGTTGCATTTTTAAGTGAATTCTATTTCTGAAATTATTTATATGAACATGTTTTGCAGTGTTGGGATTTTCTTGTGCCTATGGACATAGATTATAAACCAAAGGTAGATTGGATACCAACTGCAATGTCATTCGTCTGTTGAAAGAGAATTTTGAAAAGAAGCAACTTCGGATGTTTAAGAAAATATACTTTGGATATGTTTTGGATCTGCCACCAGTTATTGTGCAGATTTGGGTTGTGCACCATTTACTTATTAGAGAAGTACATCATGAGGTAAAAAATGAGATGCGATTTATAGTGAGTGATTCTAGGTTGCGCTTTAGTTTGAGTGAATTTGCACTCGTTACTGGACTGAAATGTAAGGGTAATACAAGTATAGAGAGCATACAAGAGAATAGGCTGATTTTAAAATATTTTGGGACTGCTTCTGTGATATTGACCCAACTAGTAGACTGTTTTACAAAGAAGAAATAGGAGACAAATGATGATGCGCTGAAGATAGCAGTTCTTTATTTTGTGAACAACTTCTTACTTTCTCTGCTCAAACCAAAGGTTATTTTATGGTTTTACATTGAATTGGTTGAGTGCAGTGATTTTAATAATTATCTCTGGGGTATCGATATTTATAACGTTACAATCGACTCGTATTCCAACAAGTTTCAAGATAAGCCTTCTTTTTATAGACTCGGTGGCTTCCCGTTGGCTTTATAGATTTGGTTATACGAATGCTGCCCAAGTTTGGATGGTCACTTTACTGATCATATAGGAAACAAATTTCCACGAATTCTGAATTGGGTAGTCAAAGGTCAAATACATAATGAGCGAGTTGCTTTGCGAATGTTTAGCTTGCAACGCGAGCAAGTAATTTTCTCATACTTTTATTGCATCTTTTAATATTTTGGTACAATAGTTTAGTCATAGTTAGTTGTAGTAATATCCCAGAGAAATGATATACTCTGTTGGTATACATGTATACCATATTGATATCATATGGTAATATGGATCTTTTCTGCTACTTATACTTTTATTGCTACTTATACTTTTAATTTTCTCATACTTTATTGAATTTTTAATGTTTTGGTACAGTGTTTGAGTCACAGGTAGTTGTAGTAATATCCCAGAGTAATGATATACTATATTGGTATACATGTATACCATGTTGGCATCATATGGTAATAGGGATATTTTCTTCTACTTATAATTTTATTGCTACTTATACTTTTAATTTTCTCATACTTTTGTTGCATCTTTTAATGTTTTGGTACATTAGTTTAGTCACAGGTAGTGGTAGCAATATCCCGGAGCAATGATATACTATGTTGGTATACATGTATACCATGTTGGTATCATATGGTTATAGGGATCTTTTGTCTTTCCATGTTTTCTTATCATTTCTATTTCTAACTAGTGTCATTAATAATTGCAGCTAAAGAACATCACCCCAACTGATGCTGAGAAGCAACTATTTGATATGGGTGGTCTAAACTTTGAAATCGAAGTTTATTGCACTGACAGTCAGCCTGATAGCTTTCAGGTTTTTGGCACTCAATTGCCAAAGACACAAAGTATGCATCAAAGTACTGGAGGTGATTACAAACCTACCAATGCTGAGGTAATGAAGGAGCTACAAGGTTTGAAGCTTTTTGTAGAGACCAAGTTTGAGGAGGTGCTTGCAACTATTGGTAGGCAATCAATGAAACCAGAGGGAAATTCAACGGTATTGTTCTTTTATATAATATAATGCTATAGTATATTGTTCAAAGATGCAATATGTGGTTATAGGATACTATTCCATTCTTTACTTTTAGTGCACATAGTATTCTTGTAATATACATAATAATAAAATTGTTATTTTCCTTATTTTCAGCATAAGCAACAGGATAATTATCCTTACTTTGGTGAGATGCACAATGATTATGATCAGTTTTGAAAGGGGCGACAGTGGGAATGGTCTTGTAGTTATTGGAGATAGTACGCCCAAAGTGCCTTCTAGTATGTAAATCACATATTTGGTTGTTTATTATTATTTTTTGCTATTATTTTTTGAAAATAGTACTCTTGATTATACTTTTATATGTTTAGTGTCTGGTTTTGGTGGTGTTGGTCGAGAGGGTGGTTCCAGTGGTGTTAATGTGAAGAACGTCACAACAAGGCATGGCGTAATTACTGATGATTTGCGTTCTGGTAAAATGTTGTGTATGCAATTTTTTTATTCTTTTTTTATTTATTTAACTTTATGTATTTGTGCGTTCACTAATCTTTTTAACCCTTTTCAGCCCCTTTGTAAATAAGTATGATCTTGGCTTGGATTCTGACTTTGAAATGTCTGCATCTGCAATTGATCAAATCACCGCCACTACACAACATGCAAAATATAAGTAGCCATCTCATGATGTTAAAAAGTCTGGACCTGCTCCGTTGCCATTAGGAATCGCTGCACAGACACTACCAGATGTTGTTATTAAGTCTAAAGTTCCTCCTTTACTACAAAATACTGCTCCACAGGGT